TTGAGCTGGAATCCTATCAATAAAAACCAAAAAACTTATCCAGTTCCCAGAGTGTGTGGATTACAAACAAATTTCCAAGTACTAATAGGAATTATAAAAAGTAGAAGTAATGATTTTCAAGTAAGAGAGGATTAATCCATGACAGCTGTAAGCACACTTACAAATCCATCACCAAGTGCAGCTGCCGCCAAGGACTGCCATGTTCCTCTGATGATCATGCCCACACCTCGCTGTCGTGAGGGAGAAGCTCCGAGGGACCCAAGGAAGAAGCTCTAGGGCGGTGCTCCAGGTCCATGTCTGTTGTGATAAAGTAACCTAGGAGCTCAAGATACGGCTCAGCAGTTGGAAGCACAAACTGCTGTTGCAGAGGATCAGACTCTAGCATCCGTGCTGGGCAGCTCCCCGCAGCCAGCCGTTATCTAACGCTGCAGGGGAATGATGCTCTCTTCCAGCCTCCGTGGACAGCTGCCCTCACCAGCACACACCGACGCAGGTACACATGCAAACATAGTTAAAACGATGTCTTTAAAATACCACAACAAAAAGCAACTTGTAAGAGAAAGAATTTATTTTAGTTCACAATTCAAGTTTACAGTCCATCCATCATAGCATAAAAAACAAACAACAAACAAACAAGCCAACAAACCCGTGACATCCCCAACAGGCATGCCCTCAGAACAACCTGATCTAGATAATCCATCACTGAGAATAAGTTATGTCAAACTGAGAGTTAAAACTAACCATCACAGATGGGTTCACTACTGAGAGCTTAATTATTTTGGGAAGCCATTTTGGAATAATTTCATGCTACTGTGCAAAATTAGCTTACGCTAAAAATGAACTTTTATGATAAAATGAAAATGATAACCTAGTATAACTATATGCTATTTATCACCATAATTGTCACCTTTGCTGAATATACTTCCCTCCAAGCAAAGAATGCGCACATGTAAAGAAAAAGTGGTTTGAATATACAGGCTTAGGAGACTGAGGAGTTAACGCCACAAAAGTCACAGCAATGCATTTCCTGTTTGCACTTCTGAACCCAAAGTGCCTGACAACAGCCGTTCCTAGCACCTGCAGCACAAGAAATTACATTAAATCAGAGAGAAAAGGGAAGGGAGCTAAGCAACACCTTCACATTCCAAGGAGAAAATGTCTAAAATAAAAGCCCTAAATTTAGCTCTGAATGTATATTCATCAGCACAGCTGAAAGTGTCTCACCAGGGTTCTGCAGCATCTAGTGTAGCTGAAAACCATCCAGGACCAGCTCAGGATCCGGGACGGTGCTTCACAGGTGTGCTGACCAGTGAGGAACATTATATCACCTGTGCTCACGCTTCACTAAAAAGGAAACAAAGCTCCACTTGAGGCTTCCTTCCACAAATCATCTCCACCAATGTGTGCTGTAACAAAGTCTGAGTGTCTTTCCAATCCGGAAAGATACCTATCCACGTCTTCACAGACACATGTCAGTCGGTCTGTCTGCTCCTGTGTGCGCCTTCCCCTCATGCCCTGGCCCTCCTCCTCCTCTTCCTCAGGTGCTGATGATGGAACCCAGGGCTCAGGCACGAGAGGCCAGTGTTCTACAACTAAGCTGTACCATTAGTTCCTGCCCCTTAGTTCTCCCTGTAAAACTTCAAGCTTTTTGTCTGCATGGCCTTAGAAACTTAGCATCCGAATAGAGCAGACAGGGGTATTCAGAATCACACCACAACGGAATATTTTTAAGAGCAGACCTGATTTGAAATGACAATTTCTCTGACACACATCTAACTGAAATGTAGTTCCTGCAATCACGATATAACAGCTGGTTCTCCCAAACAGACAAAAACAAACAAAACCCAAAAACTTAACAATTCCAGCCACACAAACGAGGGGGTAGACGGCACCAACTTAGGAAGTCTCCGCCGAGGGCTCATTCCTCGTGACGTCACAGAGCAGCCCCAGCTGTGGGCACACACAGTGCTTCAGTGTGGACCTGATGCTGAGTGAGGGTTGACTTCCTCTGCACCCTGTGAGGCGGAGCTGCAGAAGCCAGCTGGCTGGGGAACGTAAAACCCGGGCTCACTGCACTGACCACAGGTCAGTTCTGCTGTCAGGGGACGCACTGGAGCGGGGACATCACCCTGCTTCTTCCCTGCCACATTCGAGACTAACGTAATGGGAAGTCAACAGCCCGAGTTAACCTACAGGGTGGGCTTGCAAGACGGCGAGGGGCAGACGAGTTGGCAGCATTAACCTCAGGGCAGTTACCAGTATGAACATTTTCTGCTACTGTAGAAACATGTCTCTGCTAAAAATTGTTCAGTGACACACGTAGTGTCTACAGAGATGAGTTCTGCTCTTGAAAGTACAAACACAGAAGAGCAACTGGCATTTTTAACGCTACCATGTTGAGGGCAACACTTTTTTTTTTGGATTTATTAGGATGCTTATTCTTTTTCAGCATGGACTTAGCAGAAAGTTAAAAGGCAGAACAAAAATAAAAGATAACAGATCTAAAATACAGGTAAAGGGTAAATCTAAAATAGGGGATAATGTAAAAGCATTGATTTTGCCGAGACTATAAATCCAGGCTCTGCCATTGCTTCAGATAGGATGCAAAAGCCGAGGAAGAAGGACTCAGAGCCTCCTGCCAGTTACCAGGACTTCAGATTTTCTGGGGCAGGACACCATAAGGAAGGTAAAGGTTAGCCCTTCTGGCCTCTTTCTCCTGGCCACACCTCCACAGTCGTCGAAGCTTGAAATGGGACAATCACTTATGTGGCTTCCTTGTCAGGAAAATTAGTCCCGAGGCAGTAGAGCTAGAATAAACAAGTACTGTGGGTCACATTTTAAATGCTCCCACCAAAGCAATGTGGGCTAAATCAAAGCTTGATCTCCACCCTGCTTTTCTGAGGTATGGTGCAACGAGGAGATGGAGCCTTGGGGAGGTGGGACTTTGGGAGGGGGAGCCCAGTAGAAGACAGGTGCTTGGGGCACGTCCTTGATCTGGGCCCTGTCCCTCCTCCTGCTCCCCAGCAGTTCCTAACAGCTGTCACCATGGCAGGAGGTAGAGAACTATGGGGAGCGGGGCTCAGAGAGGAAAAACTGGAGGCTGCAGTGAGGAAGGAGCAGCAGAAGTTTAAAGGTGTCCCCAAAGTTCTCACACGGTAATTCAACCCCAGTGCAGTGGTGTCGAGCAGGGCCCAGTGGGCAGCATCTGGGCCGCAGAGACACGCCTTCCTGGATTAGTGAACTATCTCAGGAGTCAGTTTTGGGGGCTAGGCTCCTTTGCATACCAGACTCTCGGCATTCCTCCCAGAGGGAAATGTGTTATAAGTCACTAGTCAAGGTGTTCTTCCCCAGCAGCAAACATGGTCTAAGACACAGAGTGATGGAGCCTTAAACAGAGGGTAGTGTATTTGTGTAGGCTTCACGAAGGCCAGAGTCAGGCTAACCCAGCCCCAACAACACAGAGGTTACAGAGCAGGGACGCACTAGCTGTGAGTATGTGGGTGTGAGCAGTACAGCCACAGAAGCAGGCTGGAGCTGAAGGGAACAGGCGATAAAACAGTTGATATTTATATTACCCAAGTGTCTTCAAAAATTCAAAGGGTTGGTGGGAACATTTCTGAACAAACCAAAATTCACACACCTGCCATTGTCAGATCTCTGAGGAGGAGCAAAGTGTCACTTATTTGTGGCTTTATTATAATACGGTTTGAAGACTCAACTGATCAGCCTCCATCAGTCTGCTGAGTAGCCCAGACATCAGAGCTGCCCAGATGTGGCTGAAGCATGAACCTATGGCATAATCTCAGAGGGGGGGAGGTAACGGGAATGAACCTATTCATAGGAGGCCCACTGAGCGACAGCTAGCTGCTCACAGCTTGTCAAGATTACAAAGAGGTAAGTTACTTCACAGCACTCTCTTCTGAGCTGAGGGGCCGCCTCTGGCCAAGGGAAACACCTCTTGAGCAACACCAGGGTGTTCTATTTGTTTAATCACAGTGAGTGTAGTGTTCTGAATTCTCTAAGACGCAGCCCTGGGCTGGCGTGCTGGCTGCTGACCTCTACTTGCTGTACTACTTTCACACGCTTGCTTACATCCCCTGGCCAGAAAAACAATCAGAATCCCGTGGGGGGATGGTTTAGGTTTACAGGTGTGCCTTCTTGCCTGTCTGTGCACCGTACGCATTGAGGCGCTCTGATCCCCTGGAACTTGAGTTACAAGCAGTGGCTGGGTCCCACGTGGTTGTCCCCCACATGGGTGCCAACAGGCAAACAAAACCCACCACCACCACCACCACCACCGCACCCTCCTCTTCAAGGGCCGGACGCACTGTTAACTCTGAGCCTCCTCTCTAGCTGCCCCTTACATTTATTTATTTTAAAGACAGGGCCTTGCCGTGTAGCTCTGGCTGGCCTGGAACCCCCTGGGTAGACCAGGCTGGTCCAACTCACAGAGATGGGCCTGCCTCTGCCTCCTGGGCGCTGTCAGGAAGGGTGTGTGCCACCATGGCCGGTTCATGAGAGTATTTTTACGAGCCATCCATCATTTCAGAATGCATTCTCTCGCTCTCGGTCTCTCTCTGTGTCTGTGTTCTCTAGAGACCATGCTGCTGGTGTGGCACGTGTAATTCTAAGAACGCACACGTAGGTCCTCAGCCTCCCATGTGTCTCGAGCGGGTGAGGAGCGGCTCTGGTCAGAGCAGGGCCCACTGACGCTCCGGCGAGGTGCCCGCTCCCGGTGGCTGGCACGTGTCGCGGCTCCCCGGGCTGCCGACTGCTCGCCCAGCGCCCGGCCCGGCCGTGCGTCCCGGAGGCATGACGCATGAATGGTCTTTATTCCGAGGACCGGCTACCTACGCTTCCGCGGCGCGGGGCTGACCTTCCTTCCAGTGCCCCGGGCTCCGCGCGGGAGCGGGCGCGCATGCGCGGCGGGGAGGCCGGCGGTGGCGCGGCCGCGCCCTCGAATCGTCCGAGCGGGAGGACGACGCATGCGCAGGCGGCGCGGCCTTAAGGGCGGCCGCGGCCCGGGGCCGCCCAGTCGGCCGGTCTGCCGGCTCCGGAGCGTGCTCGTGCGCCTGCGCGGCGGCGCCGATGAAGGCGATGGCGGCGGAGGAGGAGGTGGACCCGGCGGACGCCGGCGGAGGGTGAGGATGGCGCGGACGGCCGCGGCGGGCGGGGCGGGCGGCGGGAGGGCCGGCGGCCAGGCCACCCCGCTCCGCGTCACCGGCCCCGGGACGCGGGCAGCCGGGCGACGCGGGCCGGGGAGGGCATGGCTTCCGGAGGCCCCGCGGGGAGGCTGGCATCAGCCGGCATCAGCCGGCGGGCGGGCGTCCCACCTCCCCGGTGCCCCGTGCGCCCCCGTGACCGGGAGGCTGCTCCACTAGAGGAGTTGGCGCGAGGCTTCCAGGCAGCAAACTTTGTGGACGTTGAAGGGCAGGTGCCTAACCGGGAGCCCTGAAGTTTGGTTTGGTTTGCTTGTTTTGAAACCAGGATCTCTCTGTGTAGCCACGCCTGGCCTGGAAATCTGTGTGGACCAGGCTAGCTTCAAATCTGCAAAGATCCGATCCTTTTGCCTCAGCCGCCCAGCGGTGGAGTCACAGGTGTGAGGCCTTTTGACGGACTCATTTTAAGTTACTCTTTTCTGTCTTTGAGCTGTGCCCTTGTAAGTAGAATAATAATTGGTGGAAAAATTAAGTTACTGGGAAAGTTACTGCCTCGTTCTCAAAAGGCTACGATTTTGTGTGGGCGGGACTGTACATCTCTCCCTTATAAATTAACTATTTTGACAGTTCTACTTCAGATAGTGGAGGCATTTGATAGGGAAGATATTACAGGAAAGAGTATGGTAGTATGAAAGCAAGCGTTTTGGAAAGACGTCAGGGAAGGGATATTGGAAACTACATTCTTCTGGTTTTCTTCAGGTGACGATGAAGAGCGGGGCTCTCTGTTTTGTTGTTGAACTTCCTAGTTGCTTTGATAGGAAACAGTGTCGTGAGGTACAGCTAGGAACTGGTGGCTTGTGTTCCTATGAAATGTCAGGACGTTTTTTGGCGCTCACTACTGTCTTGTGGACCCCCGCAGTCTTGCTATTGTGAGGCTAGGAAATCCAGAACACCGCAGTGAGAGTGACTCTGGGCTTGGTGATGGCTGGAGGTCATTGAGGGCAAGAGCAGCCGCGGCCCCTAGACAGAGGAAGACCTGCCTGGTATTCTTGGCAGGACACATGTGCTGCAGAGATGGCCTTCTGAACTGTACCAAGCAAGCACAGAGAAGGCTAAGTCCCCGCTGGGTACCCCTCCAGGGTGCTCAGGGCAGTACTCCTGTCCACCCTGTGCGCTAGGTCTGGCCACTCCCATTCTCATTTGGAACTGCCTCTGTGGAGCAGTACAGCTCATTGGAGCCTACTCCTTCAGGTGTCTGCCTTTAAGGCATTTTCCTCGTACTCCTGCTGCTTCTCGCCTGGATTGGGACTCACGGGATGTTTGCCTGCTGCTCTGAGTCACGTTCTTGGAGGCGGTTAGCTGCTGTAATTTGGCTATGATCTCATTGTCCTAAGAGGCTTCACGTGTGGAAATTTAATCCTCACTGAGAAGACTTGAGTGGAGCTTTGCTCTTAGGATAGTTCGTAGAAGCGAGGCTTTGGGAAGTGACTCGGATAAAATAGTCAGCACGTGGGGACCTGTGGTTGAGTTCTTGCGTTTTATGAGAAGAGGGGGAGAGGTCAGTATATGTGCAAACTGTTCTCAGCTCCCTGTGCCACCTTGGGACTTTACTAGGAAAAGTCTTGGCACTAGCAGTAACCCCTCTATTTTCTATCTCCAGAACTACGAGCAAAATAACTCATTTCTTTGAAACTTGTTAATACAGATGACGTTAGCAGCAGATATAAGGAAGTCATCTCAGCATTTTGGAGCATATAATTCTCAATGGCTCCTTGTGAAGACAAGTGTACTGGGAAACTTTCAAAATCCTATCCTTTCAGTTGCAATGTAGTTGAGAAAGCCAAATACAATGAGAATAGGGTAGATTTCCCTGAATTGCTGTAATGGTATCCCTGAGAATTATGCACTGCTAGAGTTTGGGGGAAAGCCATCACAGAACTGTGCCATTGCAGAGTGGACCATAAGATAGGTGCATTGTGGGGCACACTGGAGGCATCTGTGCTGGCAGACAACTGCTGAATCCTCAGGACTTTTGTAGCGCCAGCCGTTGTGGGAGTATTCAGTACCCTGGAAGTTATCAAACGCTATGAAATACCGAGGATTCCTCCCTTGCTGCCTCAGTCGATTGGCCAGCGTCCTGCTGGGTATATATTAAAGTCTCTGTAGAGTTTGGAGATTGGAGAGTGGGCTCCGTCTCACCTCCTAAAGAGTTGTTAAGATCTGACCATTCCTTCCTGCTGCTACTGCTCTGTAGTCCTGGCCTCCAAATTCTTCAGTGCCAATCCCAGTGCCCATGCCAGCGCTTAGCTGGCTTGGGTCTTTCTCATACACACACTAACCTCAAACTCGTGCGCACTGTCTGGCTTGAGCTGCACCCCGCCCCTCCTGAGGCCTTTTCAGGGTTCAGTGCTGTGTGAAACTCTTATTAGATAGCTAACTCTAACATTTTGTTTCTTAGCTCTCTTAACAAGACCAGAGGTTGGTTTCATTAATTTCTATTTCTTTAACTACTTTCTACATACATACATATATTCATACATTCCCTGAGACTTTATAAGTCATCTTTCTTTTTCTTTTTTTTTTTTTTTTTTTAATTTACAAAGAGTTCTTGAACTATCTTGTCTGTGGAGGACAGACCTCATTCTCTTCTCACTGTAGTGTAAGTGTACTGTTTGTGTTTGCCAGGTGCTTGTGGTTTTTTCAGTGTTAACATGTCTAAACTTTTGGCTGTGTCCTCCTTCCTGTAATAGCATGAAGTGCACAGCTCTTCCCCTCCTCTCCTAAGTTCCCAAGACAGTTGCCTTCTTCTGGTTATCTGCACTTTTATAACTGGCCTCTGTCCATCAAATCTCTTCCTTTTCTTGTCACTGGCTAACAAATCACTTACCAAATCCCCAGAGAGTCGAACAACCTGCCCTTTCTTGTCCAAATGTTACCGGAGCCGCCTAGTTCAAAACCTTCCTATACTTTGGATTTTCGCAAGCTTAGCAACACACACCAAGTATTCCTCAGTTCGTTAGTTTCTCTTTGGAAGAGGAGCGCACTTCTTCACTCACAGTGGCTTTAGAACAGTTAGGGTGTGTCCTTGCTCTCACTGCAAAGCCATTTGGAATCCGTGTGGTTTTCATTTAGCTTTGGAGATTTATTTCCTTTCCATGCGCCTGACTCTTACCTCTGGAAAGCCATATTTTTCATGCTCCCTGAGTACATCCATTGCTTCCCTGCCATTCTTCATGGTTTGTTTCACGTTGTTTTCTGTAATCCAAAATAGATTGTTACCGTTTCTGAAGTCATAGTGTTTGTAGGTTTGTGTGGTGTGTGCACATGTGTGCATGTGGAAGCCAGGTGAGGAAGGACATCGGCCGTCTTCATCTGCCACTCTGCCTTATTCCTCAGACACACAGTCTCTCACTAAACCCAAATCTTGCTGTTTTGGCTAGCCTAGCTCCAGGAATCTGTTCCCAGTGTTGGAGTTACAGGCATGCAGGGCCATGTTTCCTCACGTGGATCAGAACTCAGGTCCTCATGCTTACACAGTGAGGCCTTTTACCCAGCGAGCCATCTCCTCAGCCTCCATAGTAGTTATTTAATTTTTTTAAAGACAAGATTGTGGCCTTGAACTTTTGGATTTTCTGCCTCTGCTTCCCAGACACCAGGATTGCAGGCATGTGCCACCACAGCCGGCTCTGAAGTCTTTATGTCACTTAAATACTATTTAAAATATACTCCTCTGTATATTTATTTCATTGGCTGAGAACAAGGCTTTTGTCTTACCCAAGTGTTGGGCAGAGTCCAAAGGACTTTATAAATAGTAATTTCAGTACTTTCGTATTAAGCCTTTAACGATTATAAACACATGCTGGCATGAACACAGCTTACAAACCAAGCACTTATTCATACTTTAGGTATATGGCTTGCTTTCATAAGAGCTCCAGAAATGTTTAATTTGAGTAGGACAACAGTTAGAATCACACATTTACCGTTTCCTGGGTTATTGGAAACAGGGGTCTATTTCTTGACCTTAGGTGAAGCAACCCATGCCCCTCTGTTCGGGCACTCCAGGATGCCAACCACAGACCAGCAAACGTAGATGTGGGTCCTGTGGCAAATACCAAAGATCAGGGGTGGGCCCGATAATCGCAGCAGGGCTCAGAGGTGTGACCACACTGGTTTAGCACCTAGTCTGAAACATGCTGCTTTAAAAATAGCCTTGACTAATGGTTCAATTTATCGTTACAGTTTATCCCCATTGTGAGTTTTAAGGAATGTGTAAGGATAATTTTGTCAAGAATGTTTACTAGGTTTGAGACCCAGGACTTTCAGTTTTGCTGTCCGCTTTGCCTATCTGGAGCTGACGTAATGTTGCTCTGACGAGTGAGCAGAGTGCGCGGGCTCACATGTGCCTTGAGTGTGTCTGACTCTTCTCCTCAGGGGCTGTTTACTGTGAGGGAAGGTAGGCAGTGGCCTGGAGAGGACATGTGTGTGTGTTGTGTGTCTGCGTGTGTGTAAGCTCTCGGTTTCATAGGAGGGGATATTTCTGGAGAGCCTAGACTGGTCTCAAAATCTCCATCTTTCTGCTTCAGCCTTTGAGCACTGCCTCAGTCATACGCTCAGCTTCTAAAAGATTCTAAACTAACACAGAGGTTCATTATGGGGCAGGTGCTGCCGTAGATGGAGTGGCCAGCCATAGCTTGAATCCTTTAAGTATTGTGCATTTAAAAATGTGTGTTTATCATTTCAGTTGTACGTGTATGTGCCATGTTCCCTTTACTCCTCTTTCACAAGAATAGGATTTAAAAAATTGTTTCCAAGAAAGAAGGCCTTTAAATTGTATTGCAGTTCCAATTTAGAAGTTTTAAACTTCTTTAGTGAAGAATTTTAGAGGATATATAAGTTACCTTTTACTTGGATATTTATTACACAAACAAGATATGATTCTGTGCTTAGATTTTACAAAGAACAGTAGTGATAATATTGATTATGTCAGTTGTGGGATGGAGAGGTCTTAAGCAGAACTGTAACATAATGGATCCTATCTACTTATAACCTAATTACAAATGTTACACTATGTGGTCAAACGAGTATGTGTAAATTGGCCAGAGTTCTGTATATTTTCTTCAGGGTACTTTGAAACCTCTTTCACTATTTCACAATATTTATAGATTGTGCAATTCAGGTTTAGTAACACTATAGATAAAGCGTCTCAGGGAACAAAACAGGAATTACCAGGAACTTAAGTGTTTGTGGCATGAGGAATGAATACATTGTTAGTGTTACCAAAAAAAAAAAAAATTAGGTGGAAAGTTCAATAGGGGAAATGCAGGATACTTAAAATCAGACTTTTTAAAATATTTTTTATTTTAATATTTATTAATTATACTTTATTCACTTTGTATCCCCCCCATAAACCCTTCCCTCCTCCCCTCCCAACCCCACCTTCCCTCCCCCTTCTCCAGGCATGCCCCTCCCCAAGTCCACTGTTAGGGGAGGTCCTCCTCTCCTTCCTTCTGATCTTAGTCTATCAGATCTCATCAGGAGTGGCTGCATTGTCATCTTCTGTGGCCTGGTAAGGCTGCTCCCCCCTCAGGGGGAGGTGATCAAAGAGCAGGCCAATCAGTTCATGTCAGAGGCAGTCCCTGTTCCCCTTACTATGGAACCCACTTGGACACTGAACTGCTGTGGGCTACATCTGTGCAGGGGTTCTAGGTTATCTCCATGCATGGTACTTGGTTGGAATATGAGTCTTTTTTAAAAATACATTAGTCACAACTTCCTGGCTTTCCTAAGAGCTATCACTTAGTGTGGTCTTTAAAACTTTCCTTACTAATTTTTTTTCTTTGTTTCTACTTCAGTAGTTATAAAGCTAGAACAAGAATCTTTTAAGTATTTTCTTTTTTAAATTAGAGGCTACAGGGTTTGTATCTTCTCCCTTACCAACAAGGTCAGTGCCCAGGTCACAGGGTTTTATAGGAACCTTTTGGCACACACTGGCAAGCCTTCCTGGTGTTGTACGTGTTTACTTTGGGAAAGTTACAGTCTTTGCAGTGAATGGCTTTTCTTTGTATTGATACTTCCTTTTCTTCTGAAATCGGGCCATGGCTATGGGTAATAGTCCTTATTGATTATTGCTTAAGTAGGTCATAACTTCTCTATTTTCTAAACTGTGTGGAGACAGCTATCTCTGCTCACTGCTCTACATCTGGACCTTGAATCTGTGACCTGGGAAGAATGGCTCTGAGTCTGATGGGCTTAGGTTTAGTCTCCACATGCTAAGCCAGGGAATGCCAGGCAGCTGAGTGGCTGCAGAGACTCGGTGGAAAGGCAGTCTCCTTGGAGATGTGGTTAAGTTACCCTGTGACAGAGACAGGGTTGGCCAGCGAATAACAGGAAGCAGGAAAGGAATGAGGACTCCTGACAAAGGCTGAAGGGCAGACAGACCGCTGCTTCTCTCTAGAGGTGTTCCTTGGGCTGGTGGGTGTGTAGTACCTTCTCTAACAGGCGGAATTAGAGTCTCTACACCACCTGCCAGTAATCTGACTAACGCAGACCTGGACAGGGATTCTGCTAAGCCTAGGGGAGATGTTGTCTTCACAGTGCTGGTAGGATGGAAAACGTGGGTGTCGTTCTAGTTTAACACGCCTTAGAAAAAGGCATTGTAAAGATGGCCCTGCATTGATGGAAAGGTGGCTGTGAAAATACAAAGAGATTTAGTGCCCCTTAATTTTTAATGTAGCCTACTAGGTTTACAAACACTAAATTGAACTGGTCATTAGGAGGCAGAAATTTATAGATAATTCTAACCTTTAAAGGTTGTTTTTGTGGGCCAGATATGGCGGTTCATATCTGAAATTCCATACCTGGGAGGTAGAAGGCAAGTGAATCACAAATTCAAGGCCATTTCAGTTGTTTAGCAATACAAGGTAGGAACCTGAGAACCTGCCTCTCAAGAAAAAAGTTTGCTTTGGAAGGCGGTGAATCAGCAGAGGGCCTGTGCCTGCATTAGTCTGTTTCATAACTTTTAAAATTCTGATCCCCTGTACAAAGACACGTTTCAGTCTAAACTTTTATTTTTTATGATTGAACCAAATACTGCATCTGTGCTTTCTTGCTCCCAACTTGTGTATGTCATTTGGAGAAATAGTCGATTAAAGTTCCCTTTAATTCAGTTTTCTTTTAGTGATCTCTGTTTGTTTCTAGCGAAGAACTGTGTTAGGACCTGAAGGATATTTGTCTAGGAAAGTAAGTGATGAGATTCAGGTGTAAGTAGCTTCCTGCTCGTAATTTTATGGTCAAGTAGAGACATGAAGCCTGGTCAAGGACAGAAGAATAATTTAACAATGAGCAAAACCACATTACCGTCTTTTTTGCAAATTAAAAAATTAGGTGTGGTGGCGCACACCTGTGATCCCAGCACTCATGAAACAGAGGCAGGTGGATCTCTGTGAGTTCAAGGCCAGCCTGGTCTACAGAGTGTGTGCAGGACAGCCAAGGCTACATAGAGAAACCTGTGTCAAAAAACAAACAAAAATAACAACAAAGTAAAATTGTTAATAAATTAAAAAGCAGGTTGCTGAAGCCTTACCTTTCCCTACTGCTCTGCAGGTAGACTTGCATAGTCAGGCGTGGGCCGGAGCTGACATCTTCTTAGGTTACACCTCAGCAGTTGCTCAGTGTCGCACCTGAGGGGTGTCCATGGGTGTCCTGCCTTGTCTTGCCAACACACGAGTGTGAAACTGACATCTTCATGCAGGGCCTTGTCTACATGGCTGTGAAAACCTGACCAGGAGGAGGAGTGTGCAGACGGAGG